TTTGTTCTAAACACTTTCAGGAAACGTTCTGGGACTTTTTTGTTTTTTCGGATCCAAACCTGCGGTAAAACCAGGATCTAGTTTGGATTTTCGTTTTGGTCTCGTCGAGCGTCTGGTTTTCTGGGTTCTTTTCCTGGCCCCGGCCTGAGCGTGTTAAACCCGTGAGTGTGAGTTCCTCGCTCCCTCCTCTTCTTCGTGTTTATTTGTCTGGCCTTGTGCGGCGGAGTTCATTGGGGCGCTGAGCTGGAAGTGCAGTTTATTTGTGTTTGAAATGACTTTTTGAACGGGCTTCGCTGGTGCAGAGGTGAGAGAGGAGCTGCGTCACGGCGCGTGGGAGCCAGAGGACACACAAAAGAACACAAAACACACAAAACACACAAAAGACACAACACGAACGGACAAAAAGTGTGGAAAAAAACTCATATTTACTCATTAAACCGATTAAAAACGAATTAAAACGGTTCACTTCACACGATTGGACTGTTGTGTTTTATTTAAAGGAACATACCGGATTATTTCCTCCAGTATCTGAGTAAAAACGTGTCTTTCCTCAGTACAGATGTAAACTAGGTCTAAACCAGGACTAAACCGGGACTAAACCAGGTCTAAACCAGGTCTAAACCAGGACTAAACCAGGTCTAAACCAGGTCTAAACCAGGACTAAACCAGGTCTAAACTAGGTCTAAACCAGGACTGTATCAGGTCTAAACCAGGTCTAAACAAGGTCTAAACCAGGACTAAACCGGGACTAAACCAGGTCTAAACCAGGACTAAACCAGGTCTAAACCAGGACTAAACCAGGTCTAAACTAGGACTAAACCAGGTCTAAACCAGGTCTAAACCAGGACTAAACCAGGTCTAAACCAGGTCTAAACAAGGTCTAAACCAGGACTAAACCGGGTCTAAACCAGGTCTAAACCAGGTCTAAACCAGGACTAAACCGGGTCTAAACCAGGTCTAAAGCAGGTCTAAACCAGGACTAAACTAGGACTAAACCAGGTCTAAACCAGGACTAAACTAGGACTAAACCAGGTCTAAACCAGGACTAAACCAGGTCTAAACCAGGTCTAAACTAGGACTAAACTAGGTCTAAACCAGGACTAAACCAGGTCTAAAGCAGGTCTAAACCAGGACTAAACTAGGACTAAACCAGGACTAAACTAGGACTAAATCCAGGTCTAAACCAGGTCTAAACCAGGTCTAAACCAGGTCTAAACCAGGACTAAACCGGGTCTAAACGTGTCTTTCCTCAGTACAGATGTGTTGTTACAGCAGCTGTTGAGGTCAAAATAAAAGAGGCGGGACTTACGAGTCAGAGTTGAGTCACTATTTTTAAGAATTGGGTTTGACGTCAGAAAACTTTCAGAAATATTTGTGTGTGTATTTGTCTGTAGTTGAGCGTAAAATAAATATTCGTAAACTCTCGATTGAGTCCAGTCGTAAATAAAATATACTGTGTGTATTTTATGCATCAGAATACGAATTGAAAAGTTGCGACGTCGAGAATTAAAATCACCAAATGAAAATTTACGATGATTCATCAGAACGAACACGAACTCACAGACTCAAAAATACAACATCACAGACACAAGAAACATCGATCGAGACGCTGGAGTTTTGCACCGCGTACAGAATGAACCAGAACTAAACCAGGACTAAACCAGGACTAAACCAGAACTAAACCAGGACTAAACCAGGACTAAACCAGGTCTAAACCAGAACTAAACCAGGACTAAACCAGGACTAAACCAGGTCTAAACCAGAACTAAACTAAACCATCATTAAACCAGGACTAAACCAGAACTAAACCAGGACTAAACCAGGACTAAACTAAACCAGGTCTAAACCAGAACTGAACCAGATCTAAACCAGGTCTAAACCAGGACTAAACCAGGTCTAAACCAGGACTAAACCAGGACTAAACCAGAACTAAACCAGGTCTAAACCAGGACTAAACCAGGAGTAAACCAGGACTAAACCAGGACTAAACCAGGACTAAACCAGGACTGAACCAGGACTGAACCAGGACTAAACCAGGTCTAAACCAGGACTAAACCAGGACTAAACCAGGACTGAACCAGGTCTAAACCAGGACTGAAACCAGGACTAAACCAGGTCTAAACAAGGTCTAAACCAGGACTAAACCGGGTCTAAACCAGGACTAAACCAGGTCTAAACAAGGACTAAACCAGGACTAAACCGGGTCTAAACCAGGACTAAACCAGGTCTAAACAAGGTCTAAACCAGGACTAAACCGGGTCTAAACCAGGTCTAAACAAGGTCTAAACCAGGACTAAACCAGGTCTAAACCAGGTCTAAACAAGGTCTAAACCAGGACTAAACCGGGTCTAAACCAGGACTAAACCAGGACTAAACCAGGTCTAAACAGGTCTAAACAAGGTCTAAACCAGGACTAAACCGGGTCTAAACCAGGACTAAACCAGGACTAAACCAGGTCTAAACCAGAACTAAACCAGGACTAAACTAAACCAGGACTAAACCAGGTCTAAACCAGGATTAAACCAGGACTAAACCAGAACTAAACCAGGACTAAACCAGGACTAAACTAAACCAGGACTAAACCAGGTCTAAACCAGGACTGTACCAGGACTAAACCAGGTCTAAACCAAGTCTAAACCAGGACTAAACCAGGAGTAAACCAGGACTAAACCAGGTCTAAACTAAACCAGGTCTAAACCAGGACTAAACCAGGACTAAACCAGGACTAAACCAGGTCTAAACCAGGACTAAACCAGGACTAAACCAGGTCTAAACTAAACCAGGTCTAAACCAGGACTAAACCAGGACTAAACCAGGACTAAACCAGGACTAAACCAGGTCTAAACTAAACCAGGACTAAACCAGGACTAAACCAGGTCTAAACTGGACCTAAATGATTCAGAATTCAACTTAATTCAGAAGTGTTTGGTTTATTTAAATTTTAAAGCCAAATAAATTTCTTCCTTTATCATGTTTCTCGTTTATTCTTGTTAAAAATAATCCCGGTGGTTTGGCGCGTGTTTGTCGTGTCTCGGGACTTTGATCCGCGTCTCTTTGGACTTGTGAGCGGGATGCGGGATGTGCCCACCCCAGACGCTCACACACATTCAATAAAGACCATTTCACCAGTTTTCCGTCTAAACCTCAATTCAGAATTATTATTTCCATGTCAACTCGAAAGAAAATATTTGAATTCTGACCTGTTTAACTCGGAACAACCAATTCTGAATAAAAAAAAAAAAACATTCTGTAAACGTGTCCAGTGTCCAACAGAAACCAGGACAGAGACCAGTCCACCGTCGGCCGCTGATAACGAGTCTGTGATGTGACTTTATATGGTTCAAGCTCAGACTCTTGAAGCGTTTGGCTCCGGTTAAATGAAGCTCCTCCCTCAGATCATTCGCTCATGTTTTAATCAAACCTTAGGGAGGAATCAAACACAGTCCCCGAGTATTTATAAGAGTTCACCGTTTCTACTGCTTCTCCCTCGACGCTTGGTATTATTAATGTTCATATCTTGATTCTGGGACAAGATAGTAAAACAAAAACCTCAATTAGGCCCGTAACAATAACAGATTTTGCTGGACGATTCACAGACCAAGAATTTATTGCGATAAACGATAATACTGAAAAAACGGCCGTTTCCTGTTTTCGTAACTTCTGCGTCTGCGATGCCGGACTGAACCAGGACTGATCCAGGTCCCGGACCAGACCAGGACCAGACTGAGATGAGATCAGAACTGAGACCAGGACCAGATCGAGACTGAGACCAGGCCGAGACCAGACCGGACCAGACCGGGACCAGACTGAGACCAGACTGAGACCAGGCCGAGACCAGACCGGGACCAGACCGGGACCAGACCGGGACCAGACCGGGACCAGACTGAGACCAGGCTGGGACCAGACTGAGACCAGGCCGAGACCAGACCAGAGGCTCAGAGCCCATGGCAGGGCCAGAGCTCGAAGCTGAGGCTCGGACCCTCAGACCCTTGGACCCTCAGTCCCGGTCTGGTCCCAGTCTGGTCCTGGTCTGGTCTTGGTCTCAGTCCCAATCTGGTCCCAGTCTGGTCTCAGACCTGGATCAGTCCTGGTTCAGTTCGGCATCTCAGTCACGGAAATCACGTAAACAGGAAACAGTCGTTATCCGTTTTTTCCATTTTTCATTTAAACACCAAATCAAAAACTGAAAAAAACAAATCATTATCTGTTTTTTCATTTTGGTTTTGGAGACAAATAATGAAGACAACTGTTGTTTTTTTGTTTTCTTATTTTTGGTTTTATTTTTTTATTGTGTCTCGTCTCTCTGGCTGCTGCTGTGGCCTCGGCGTTTTGGTCTTGAAATGTTCGTATGAACCTGCGACACAGGATCCTCTTTCACTCTGAGGGAGCCTCTGTCCTGTCTGGTGTTGTGTCGGTGTTTGGTGGGATTTCGGTGGATATCGGGCTCTTTTGGGGCTAGTTGTGTTGCTCGGGTTTGGGTTTATCGGCTGTTGGGGTTTGAGTCATTTCTTCTCGTCGTTTGCGCTCGCTGCATTTGACGCATGTGACCGTTGAGACATGTTACACTCACTCGTGTTGATTTGACGTCGTGACATGTTTTGTCACACGGAGATGAACTGTTTTGGTTCTGACGGCGGCGCTTGTGTTGCGGCTTCATGTTCAGCGCACAGACAACGACGCTTTCTGCTCTCAGGCTGCGCGCGCATCCTCTTTAATGATGAACAAATCATCCGTTGAGTCTACGCTGACACGTTCATTCAAGCGTCATTACAGTTACTCATTACTAATCAAACGAGGAGTCCGAGAGCATAGAAGCCTTTTGATATTCAGTCTCTTTGGTGGAAAGAGAGAGAGATGAGGAAAACAACCAAACATGCAAAAAGAATTTATCACGGTTGGAAAAGTTATTGAGCTCCTTAAAAGTTGTCGTACGATTAATTGATTTATTGATTATCGTTACAAGTCTAACCTCAAAATCATATAGAGCGAGTTAATACAAGAGTCAGTGGAGCCGTCTGTCCGTCTTTGGTCTGTCCATCTTTATTCTGTCCATCTTTGCTCCGTCCGTCTTTGTTCTGTCCATCTTTGCTCCGTCCATCTTTGCTCCGTCCATCTTTGCTCTGTCCATTTTTGCTCTGTCCATTTTTGCTCTGTCATCTTTGTTCTGTCCATTTTTGCTCTGTCCATCTTTGCTCTGTCCGTCTTTGTCTGTCCGTCTTTGCTCTGTCCATCTTGTTCTGTCCATCTTTGCTCCGTCCATCTTTGCTCCGTCCATCTTTGTTCTGTCCATCTTTGCTCTGTCCATCTTTGGTCTGTCCATCTTTATTCTGTCCATCTTGCTCCGTCCGTCTTTGTTCTGTCATCTTTGCTCCGTCCATCTTTGCTCCGTCCATCTTTGCTCTGTCCATTTTTGCTCTGTCCATTTCTGTCATTTTTCTGTCCATTTTGCTCTGTCCATCTTTGCTCTGTCCTCTTTCTCTGTGTCTTTGCTCTGTCCATCTTTGTTTTGTCCATCTTTGCTCCGTCCATCTTTGCTCCGTCCATCTTTGTTCTTTGCTCTGTCCATCTTTGTTCTGTCCATTTTTGCTCTGTCCATCTTTGCTCTGTCCATTTTTGCTCTGTCCATTTTTTGCTCTGTCATCTTTGTTCTGTCCATTTTGCTCTGTCCATCTTTGCTCTGTCCGTCTTTGCTCTGTCCATCTTTGTTTTGTCCATTTTCTCCGTCCATCTTTGCTCCGTCCATCTTTGTTCGTCCATCTTTGCTCTGTCCATCTGTCCATCTTTTTGCTCTGTCCATTTTTTGTTTTTGCTCTGTCATCTTTGTTCTGTCCATTTTTGCTCTGTCCATCTTTGCTCTGTCCATCTTTGCTCTGTCCGTCTTTGCTCTGTCCGTCTTTGCTCTGTCCGTCTTTGCTCTGTCCATCTTTGTTTTGTCCATCTTTGCTCCGTCCATCTTTGCTCCGTCCATCTTTGTTCTGTCCATCTTTGCTCTGTCCATCTTTGTTCTGTCCATTTTTGCTCTGTCCATCTGCTCTGTCTTTGCTCTGTCCATCTTTGCTCTGTCCATCTTTGCTCTGTCCATCTTTGTTCTGTCCATTTTTGCTCTGTCCATCTTTGCTCTGTCTGTCTTTGCTCTGTCCATCTTTGCTCTGTCCATCTTTGTTTTGTCCATCTTTGTTCTGTCCATCTTTGCTCTGTCCATCTTTGCTCTGTCCATCTTTGCTCTGTCCATCTTTGTTTTGTCCATCTTTGTTCTGTCCATCTTTGCTCCGTCCATCTTTGCTCTGTCCATTTTTGCTCTGTCCGTCTTTGCTCTGTCCATCTTTGCTCTGTCCATCTTTGTTCTGTCCGTCTTTGCTCCATCCATCTTTGCTCTGTCCATTTTTGCTCTGTCCGTCTTTGCTCTGTCCATCTTTGCTCTGTCCATCTTTGCTCTGTCCATCTTTGCTCCGTCCGTCTTTGCTCCGTCCATTTTTGCTCTGTCCATCTTTGCTCTGTCCGTCTTTGCTCCGTCCATTTTTGCTCTGTCCGTCTTTGCTCCGTCCGTCTTTGCTCTGTCCGTCTTTGTTCTGTCGTCTTTGCTCCGTCCATCTTTGCTCCGTCCGTCTTTGCTCCGTCCGTCTTTGCTCCGTCCGTCTTTGCTCTGTCCGTCTTTGTTCTGTCGTCTTTGCTCCGTCCATCTTTGCTCCGTCCGTCTTTGCTCCGTCCGTCTTTGCTCTGTCCGTCTTTGTTCTGTCGTCTTTGCTCCGTCCATCTTTGCTCCGTCCGTCTTTGCTCTGTCCGTCTTTGCTCCGTCCATCTTTGTTCTGTCCATCTTTGTTCTGTCCGTCTTTGCTCTGTCCGTCTTTGCTCCGTCCGTCTACGTTCTGGCCGTCTGTACCGTCAGCCCTAGGTTCCTGCTCTCTGATTCTCCACCTCAGGACCTGTTCATGAGCTTGATTCTGTTTCCCCGCAGATGTGGACGAATGCGCCGACAACAACGGCGGCTGTCAGCAGGTCTGTGTGAACACCATGGGCAGCTACGAGTGTCAGTGCACCCACGGCTTCTTCCTCAGCGACAACCAGCACACCTGTATCCACCGCTCGGACGGTAAGACACAAAACTAACACAAAAACTAAACCAAAACACGACAACCAGCACACCTGTACTCAGTGTCGTACCTGAACGTGTGCATTGAACAATAGTTCATGAACGTGTTCATATTTTGGGGAGATGTGAACTGAACGCTCTGTATTTCTGTATTCCTGCCTTATAAACAAACTGTGAGTGTGTTCTTTCTGGAGTCTGTGAGCAGCATGTGCCACGATATCGTCCTGGTCTCGTCACACTGTTAAACTGTGACACTTTAGGTAAAAATAATAATGTTCAGTCTCTCCTGTGGGGCACAGTAAACTACATGGACCATGATCCTTTGCGGCCGCGTCATCAGCGACTTTTAAGCCTGAGAAGTATTTAGAAGAAGTAGAAGAAGTATTAGAAGTATTATTACTAGAAGTATTTTGTGTTTGTCGTGACATGAAATGAGGTGATGGACAAACAACAGACTGTGTGCAGACAGAACGCAGTGTTAGGTTCACCTCAGGAGATAAATGGATAAACTCACACCCCGAAAATGTTCAAGAATGTGTTCAGAAAATCAAGTCAGGACAAAAAACTCTATGTGAAGCATTTACAACAGAACTGCCTCACAACAGCTCAAGAAATAAACAAATACATCACAGAATATGAAAAGAGAGATTTACATTTTCCACAGTGACACCGTCAGGTTTAAAAGGTCAGTGACAAAACTGGAATCAAAGTATAACTATCAGCACATTTAAGTTTTTTTTTTTTATTTCCTACGAGGACGACTCAAATATACACAGAGTAATAATGTGTTTAATGCAGCTTTGCGCACATTTGTTTACGTTTTACAGAAAGGAAACTTAAAACCACATGACTCATTTGCATAAACTGTAAACACTGAAAAAAAAACCAGCTCCTTGTGCTGATGTGGTTCAGATTCTGTCGGACTCCAGCAGCCGTGATGCTCCATCAAGCGAAGCGGTTTTGTAGTTTACTAAAGTCGCACTAAAACATTGTTTATTTGTTACTTGAATTTTGCAACTCAAGTCTTTTCAGTCTGTTTAAAATGTCTCTGATATGAAAATGACAATAAATGTTTTAACAAATGATGCTCAAATATTTTATAATGACACTTTTGTTATTATGGATAATGTCGTAATATCGTGAGTTTTCCCACGATATCACAATAAATATCCGTGACGATATCGTATCGTGAGACTTGGATATCGATACCCCCCGCGTATCCATAGAAACGAGCAGGTGACGGACGCCCAAACGTAAACTCCTTCCCCTGTTTGTTCCAGTGTCACAGTCGGTGGGTTTTATAATTGGAGCTTTTGGATATTGATCGTATTGTTTTATTGATTGGGGCGAGTGTGTGACAGGTCAAAGGTGAAGGGCTTACATCATCCCTAGCGTGACCTTTTTGACCTTTTTGACCTTTGTGACCTTTGTGACTCTAATTAAACCAAACGCAGCATTGATCACAGAAGCGCGTCCAGGTTTAGGATTATTGACGACGGGACGGGTCTGGAGGAATCACCGAGACTCACCGTTTTTTTTAAAGAAATCTACAAACTTCTGATCCACAAATGTTTCTCCTTCTCATTCTTTGTTGCTTGTTTCTATGGATACGTCATCGCTCTGCCTGGAATGTTCCACAGTGTGACTTTAAACAGCTCTACTTTACATTTATTCAATTGCAGGTGATTTTATGGCTCAAAAATACCCAGAAAAATAAACATTCTGACTGAGTGGGGTCGACATTTCAGACAAAATAATAACATCTCCATGGAGAAAAGTATTTGACGGACACTCCACCGGGAAAGTTACACAGTGCAGCTTTAACTCGGCGTATGAATCTTCTGGTGTAAAGTCTTTGGGGTTGAATAACGATGAAAACTTCATGTGACATTAGTTTATTTCTCCTGACAGAGAAGAGCAGGACTAAACCAAGACTAAACCAGAACTGAACCAGGTCTAAACCAGGTCTAAACCAGGACTAAACCAGGACTAAACCGGGACTGAACCGGGACTAAACCGGGACTAAACCAGGACTGAACCAGGTCTAAACCAGGTCTAAACCAGGACTAAACCGGGTCTAAACCGGGATTGAACCGGGACTAAACCAGGACTGAACCAGTTCTAAACCAGGTCTAAACCAGGACTAAACCAGGACTAAACCGGGTCTAAACCGGGACTGAACCGGGACTAAACCAGGACTAAATCAGGACTAACCCAAGATTAAACCAGGACTTAACCAGGACTGAACCAGGTCTAAACTAGGTCTAAACCAGGACTAAACATGGACTAAACAAGGACTAAACAAGAACAAAACCAGGTCTAATCCAGGACTAAACCAGGAATAAACCAGGACTAAACCACGATTAAACCAGGATTAAATAAGGTCTAAACCAGGTCTAAACCTGGGCTAAACCAGGACTGAACCAAGATTAAACCTGGTCTAAACCAGGACTAAGACAGGACTGAACCAGGACTGAACCTGGACTAAACCAGAACTAAACCAGGACTAAACCAGGACTAAACAAGAACAAAACCAGGACTAAACCAGGACTAAACCGGGACTAGACCGGGACTAAACCAGGACTAAACCAGGACTGAACCTTTAGTTTAATTCTCCTGAGGTTGAACTTTGTGTCAGTTTTTGTTTCTTGTGGATTGGCCCAGCACAATTACACAAATCTGAACCAGAAACCAGGTCAACACATCTGCACCTGACACTCTCACCTGCCTCACCTGCCTCACCTGCCTCACCTGCCTCACCTGCCTCAGCTCAGGTCAGACTGGAGTGGTTGTAGAATGTGCTGATGTGAGTGCAGCCTATAGTTTTTGGTCGTGTTATATTTGTGTCTGTTTTGGTTCATTTGTAACAGTGAAACTTTTAAACGTTTTTGTCGTCGGCTCATTAACACAGAAAACGAAGGGGGACAAAACAGACCCCTGGGGAGCGACCATTTGCCCATTTGCCCATTTCAGATCAGATATTTACTCTCATTATGTCGTTTTAACGGCTGCATAAATATAAATAAAATATAATGATGAAGTTTAGGGATAATGGACCATGTCAACAGTATATTAGTTGTTTTTTTTTCAGTGGCGTGCTCGTGTCGGTGATGTTCTCGTGGCGTGGTTGGTGGTGGTGATGTTCTCGTGGCGTGGTTGGTGGCAGTGATGTTCTCGCGGCGTGCTTGATGGCGGTGATGTTCTCGTGGCGTGGTTGGTGGCGGTGATGTACTCGCGGCGTGCTTGATGGCGGTGATGTTTTCGCGGCGTGCTTGATGGCGGTGATGTTCTCGTGGCGTGGTTGGTGGCGGTGATGTACTCGTGGCGTGGTTGGTGGCGGTGATGTTCTCGTGGCGTGGTTGGTGGCGGTGATGTACTCGCGGCGTGCTTGATAGCGGTGATGTTCTCGCGGCGTGGTTGATGGCGGTGATGTTCTCGTGGCGTGCTTGATGGCGGTGATGTTCTCGTGGCGTGGTTGGTGGCGGTGATGTTCTCGCGGCGTGCTTGATGGCGGTGATGTTCTCGCGGCGTGGTTGATGCGTGTTGCTTGATGGCGGTGTGATGTTCTCGTGGCGTGGTTGATGGCGGTGATGTTCTCGCGGCGTGGTTGATGGCGGTGATGTTCTCGCGGCGTGGTTGGTGGCGGTGATGTTCTCGTGGCGTGGTTGGTGGCGGTGATGTTCTCGTGGCGTGGTTGGTGGCGGTGATGTACTCGTAGCGTGGTTGGTGGCGGTGATGTACTCAAGGCGTGCTTGATGGCGGTGATGTACTCGTGGCGTGGTTGGTGGCGGTGATGTACGCAAGGCATGCTTGATGGCGGTGATGTACTCGTGGCGTGGTTGGTGGCGGTGATGTTCTCGTGGCGTGGTTGGTGGCGGTGATGTACTCGCGGCGTGCTTGATAGCGGTGATGTTCTCGCGGCGTGGTTGATGGCGGTGATGTTCTCGTGGCGTGCTTGATGGCGGTGATGTTTCTCGTGGCGTGGTTGGTGGCGGTGATGTACTCGCGGCGTGCTTGATGGCGGTGATGTTCTCGCGGCGTGGTTGATGGCGGTGATGTTCTCGTGGCGTGCTTGATGGCGGTGATGTTCTCGCGGCGTGGTTGATGGCGGTGATGTTCTCGTGGCGTGGTTGATGGTGGTGATGTTCTGCGCGGTTGATGGCGGTGATGTCTGTGGGTGGCGGTGATGTACTCGTGGCGTGTTGTGGCGGTGATGTTCTCGCGGCGTGCTTGATGGCGGTGATGTTCTCGCGGCGTGCTTGATGGCGGTGATGTACTCGCGGCGTGCTTGGTGGCGGTGATGTTCTCGTGGCGTGGTTGGTGGCGGTGATGTTCTCGTGGCGTGGTTGGTGGCGGTGATGTACTCGTAGCGTGGTTGGTGGCGGTGATGTACTCAAGGCGTGCTTGATGGCGGTGATGTACTCGTGGCGTGGTTGGTGGCGGTGATGTACGCAAGGCGTGCTTGATGGCGGTGATGTACTCGTGGCGTGGTTGGTGGCGGTGATGTACGCAAGGCGTGCTTGATGGCAGTGATGTACTCAAGGCGTGCTTGATGGCGGTGATGTACTCGTGGCGTGGTTGGTGGCGGTGATGTGCAAGGCGTGCTTGATGGCAGTGATGTACTCAAGGCGTGCTTGATGGCGGTGATGTTCTCGCGGCGTGGTTGGTGGCGGTGATGTTCTCGTGGCGTGGTTGGTGGCGGTGATGTTCTCGTGGCGTGGTTGGTGGCGGTGATGTACTCATGGCGTGGTCGGTGACGGTGATGTACTCGTGGCGTGGTTGGTGGCGGTGATGTTCTCGTGGCGTGGTCGGTGGCGGTGATGTTCTCGTGGCGTGCTTGATGGCGGTGATGTACTAGTGGCGTGGTCGGTGGCGGTGATGTTCTCGTGGCGTGGTTGGTGGCGGTGATGTACTCGTAGCGTGGTTGGTGGTGGTGGTGTACTCATGGCGTGCTTGTGGCGTACTCATGGCTTGATTGGTGGCGTGCTCGTGGCGTCCAC